ATCTCAAACATACATAATGATGTTATTCACATAAAACTTGATATCTACAAGTTCTATTACAAGTCATTTACACGGTTACATGTCAAAATGGAATTTTAACAAGAATTTTACACCAAACTTGTATTCAAAAGCCACAACCCGGCTTTTCTTCACCCAAGAGGCCCCGAATGCGAGCCGTCCGCTGGAGTATGTCTCGCACCTGAAATGTTTCCGATATAGGGTAAGTCAACACCCAGTAGAATATTTCCTATAGAGATTACTCCCCAACCTAAGTGCATATGCAATGTTCACATGCAACATTTCATAAACAACCATTGTTCCAATCAAGACTATGTGTGGAATTTAACATGTCGTGCCAGGATATAAGATGATACTCACTCATGTAACTCAACCCGAGCTCTCATCGGCTCCTTTCTCCCATGTAATGCCATGAGTACAATGGCCGGGTTTTTCATCCCCCGTCATTGGCCTCACTCATCTAATGACCATTTTAAGATTTTTTCAGGGTCTTTGTAGGGGTGGATGTTTATGGACTCACACCAAGGGTCACCCAACCCACACGGAGTTTACGAACTTCCACCGAGGGTTCCGTGCACACCCACACACTTCATGCACTATACCAAGGGAGTACGTATCCCATCACCGGGCCTTGCACCCGAGAGATCTTCTAGCCCTTCTTGTTAACCCCAACCCTAATCACCAAATAATCTGTGAAACTTGGCCAGGTCTTCGACCAAGCTTACTCGAGCCCACTTGTCATCCACTGAGTGTAGTGTTGACAAACAACCATGCACATACACCCATACATGCGATGCCTCCGTGCATAGGCAATGTAATGCACCATTACTATTTCAATGTCATGTCCACATGTAATGAATGTCATATGAGCTAGATTAACAATTATTTCTACATTTCATGCCCAATCATATCATAAGCATGTAACTGCTAATTTCATCACTATGTCAATATATCAGAGAGCATATATTAATATTTCATATCCAACCAAAATTCTCAGGCATGTTATCATATAATATATGTCAATAACTCACTTAATTTCACAAAGCATAATATAAACACATAGCATGCCCACATAAGACTGATTGTCCATGGAATTACCCAAGTAATTACAACCTACCAATCTCAAGCTAGGAATTTAACTTAAATTAGGTCAAATTCACATACCCAATTCACCAATCACCCAATTCCATCAATTTTCCAACCATAGACAAGTGATATTAGTCTCTATCAACCTACCCATTCCATAAAACATCCTAGGTTGCAAAATAAACCCAAGTAGGAAGGAACTCTACCTCTTGAAGCGTAAAATGACGTTGGGAAGCTCCAAGGACCCAAAACAATCTTGAATCCTCACTTTCTCAAAATCTCATTTTTCAACCTTCGGTAAAACCTGTCGTTTTTGGTGTGATCGCGTAGCCCTCGGCAAGGAGAATGACTTTTGTTCTTGGCTCGAGCGGATTTAAAGCCCGTGGAGTCGTAGATCGTAGAGAGAAAGCGAAGTTCTTTATCTCTTTTCCCTCTCTTCTCTATCGGCAACGGCTGAGCAATTATGGGAAGAAAATCTGATTTTCTTCCCTTTTTTATAGTCCTCCAATACTTGGTCCACAATTGACCACACAGCCCAATTTTTTTAGGTCCGTTTTTACCTCGAAACGATTAAATTTTGTCCCGGTTTAAGTTCAAAACATTTTTATTTTAATTTACCTTAATTAATTTTATAATTTTTGAAATTTTATCAAAAATCTCGTTTTTGGTTCACCCGAGACTCGACTGCCTCGTGAAACACAAAAAAATTGACTATCTCAGAATTTGATGAAATTTGACGTGATAACTAGATTTCGCGAGACGAATCCAACGGTGTAGTCCGTTTCGTCATTCGAGATCTAGAAAAATTTAAGTTTACAACTCATATCGTAGTGACAAATTATCATTTTGCCCTTGTTATAAAAAGTTTAAATTTACCGGGGTTTTACAATAGGACCTCTAAAAATAGAGAAAACCTATAAAATGCTAATTACATGTGTTGTGTGGGTGTGTGTGCTATTAGGAATAGAACATCAATGGCTCAACTTCTATTCATCACCTCACCTGGTTCGTCGATTAAAACATTTTGTCCTTCCTTGACATTAAAATCAAACTGTGAATACTATTTTTTAAAAGAAAATTAGCAGAATATCCCCTAAAAATAGGATCCCAAAAATATATTAATCTATTTACAAAATATATATATTTCATAATCATACCCAATTCCATAGTCCTGCATAAACACAACTATTAATCAACTATCATAACAATATAGTCCTGCCTAAAAACAATTATTTACCAACTATTACAACAAAAAAATAATGTTAATTATAATATCACGTAAACACAACTATTTGACAACCACAACAACATAATAATATTAACTATAAAATTAATACACGACAATCTATTATTTACAAAAATAATAAAATTAGTACACGACACAACTTATAAAAACAACTTGTAAGTTACCTTATTCGTACTTCTCCAGTAAGAAAGCTTAGTTGTTCTTATTATGTTCAATTTGTGTGCCATTTCATCCAAATCTTACATAAATCGTAAGGTTAATATTGCATTGTTAAAAAGATTGTCATCAATAGAAATAAACTTGTAAACACATTTCATATGACTAACAAACCCATTTCATACAACTAACAACTATAACATTCAACTAAAACCCTATTATCAAAACTCTATGAAAAATCCCAATTGAAAATCAAACTATAACATTCAAATCAATTTAACATCCAAAACACCTAAACTATAACATTCAAACTTATTTTAACTATAACATTCAATAAAAACCTTGTTATCAAAATCCTATGAAAAAAAAAATCAAACTATAACATTCAAACCAATTTAACATTTAAAACACTCAAACTATAACATTCAAACAAATTTAACATCTAAAAGACCCAAACTATAACATCTATTCAAACTATAACAAAACTTATCAAACTTATTTGAAAAAAATATAACATTCAAACCCAAAAGTAACACTAAATTAGAACTTGAAAATCCAACTTTAACATTCAAAACACCCAAGCTATAACATTCAAACCAAATTTTGAATTCACTTGATCAATTCATATAAAAGAATGATTTCACAATTTCAAAAATACACTAAAGTAATCAAACCCCAAGTGCAAAAATACAACACAAAATACCAAGAAGCGTACCCCAAATCTTAGCTTGTTGTATTCACAAATTAATGTGAAGAATTAATGTCCTCCACTGCAACCTTAAATAGAAGTCATCAACCAATACTTTGACTAGCTGTAGATCAACAATTCTCATTTATTATCAAAATCAAGAAATCAAAAGAAAAAAAAAACACAAAACCTTAACTTTTTTGTGTGTGGTTCATGCCAATTTTTTGAGAGCATTAAGCAAATCAATAAAATTGTTTAGGTCACTTGAGTTCAACTGACAATTTTCCTTTCTCTTTGTTTCCTCACTTAAGTTGCATAACTTGACTATCACTTTAGAGTAATGCAAGCAAACTAAAGTTACTACAACCGTCCTCAAGAATAAGTCCAACACTGAATTTTGGGTTATAGTTGTCGTTGTGATTGTTCACTGTTCTTTAATAAATTTCATTGACCCCATTGGTGGTGTAAAACGTTCATCATAAAGATTTAAAGCCATTGAATTCCATCCTATTTCACTTTCACTTTCATTCTTTTTTAACATACATCCTATTTCACCCTAACATAATCAAGACTCTATAAAAACCTATATTCATACTAATTAACACATAATCTCTAAAATTATGGAAATAAAATAAATTAACACACAATCTTAATCTAAATAACCCAAACATTCATCAAATCAAGACACTATAAACCTATTTCATAATTAATAAAAAATCAAATTGAAAGCAATAAGATTCAAAAACCCCAAAAAAAAAAATTGAAAATTTACAAACTCTATTTGACACCCAAATTAACACTCAAATTTTAATTGGGTCAACCTCCTACAAAATGAACACTCAATAATAACAACTCAACATCTATTACATCCACCCTAACACTCGTAACTTAAAAAAAAAAATAAAGTTTCATAATAAACATATTTCATCATAACTATAAAAACACCTAAATTAAAAAAAAGTCAAATTAAAAACACCCAAATTAAAAATACACAAATTAAACACAAACATTCAAAACCCCTAATTAACCAAATTCAAAAACCCAAACCCAAAGTTGTGTGTGTGTTTTGCATCTATGTCTGTATGCTATTCTACTGCGTGTTTGTGTGGGTTGCATGATTTGTGTGCTATTGTGCGTGTGTTGGGTGATTTGTGTGCTGTTGTGTGTGCGTGTTGTTGTGGTATATGTATGTGTGCGCGGGTGTGGATGTGTGTAGGACTGTTTTGTGTGTGTGCTGTTTGTGTGTGTTGTGATGTGGGTTGATGGGTTTGTGTTGTGTTGTGGGTTTGAGTGTGTGTATGTGTCGTGAGTGAGAATGTGTTGTGGGTTTGGTATTGTGTTTGTGGGTATGGTGATGAGAAGTTCATGAGGGACTGGTTTAACAGGTAGATGAGCACACAGATAGAGAGAGAGAGCGAGCGATGGACAAGGTCAGCGGATACAAAAATAGGGGTTATTTTGGGTAAAGGGGGTGGCATGTGTGTGGGGTTAAAATGGACGGGAGAAACAATTTGTGTGGGATGCATTACAGACTTTTGGATTAATTTAAAAAATTTTAGATAAAATTTGGGCCATTAAATGAAAAATAGAGTAAGTCTGAATCATCATTGTACGCTCCCAACTAGATTAAAATTAAATTAAATTTTGAAGTTCCATGTTATTATTATAGATGTCATGTCATTTCAAACATGTCATATTTATTTTTAGTTATAAAATTAAAGGAGTTATTTCGTATTCCTGTCAAATATTAATCAAATTATTTATTATTTGCATGAATGGATATTGGTCCTCGAAATTGATAGGAAACGAAAATTCTTCGTAGTCAAAGCCCAAACCAAAAGCAGCTATTGGAGGGTCGGAAACAGCGGCAAGTATGGCTCTGTTGACATTGTTGAACTCATTGCTTCCCCCGAGTTATCGTCATCATCATTTGGGCGGACGCGACAGCAGCTGCTATTTTTTCCCGTGGATTCTCTCCGTTTCGTTACCTCAGCCTAACGATGCAGAAGGAAAATTTTGGTGCAAAGCTGGATACAATCCTAATCATTCCCCCAATATCTCTCCGCCGATAGGCAATGGAAACGCCGTGCGGGGACAAGCTTCAAATTTAGCAGAAGAAGGCGATGATGAATTAGAATTTCAAGTGTTGACGGCCGTGAGAAGCAATTATAACGATATAGTAATTTTGGACACTCCAAAATCAAGAATGCTGCTCCTCGACTCCAGTCGTATGCTCTCCTTTTCTCCTTCCTCTCTCACCCGCACACACAGACAAATCCGAGAAAAAACTGCTATATTTCCCCAATCTCTGACACTCTCTCTCCGAACTCTCACGGAAAGGCTTCTCCTCTCTTTTAATCAGCTAAGTTACATAGGGCTAATCCTTATAATTGCGAGGAAAAGCGTATATGACAATCAAATTATCACGGATACAACACACGAGCGGCGGGCTTGAATGTCTAAATCTTGTTCGGTTTTTTCAACTGAAATTGGGTATATGCCCATCTAATTATTGATGAAGTATGACCTGAAATGAGATTTTTGTTGGCTCATTTATTAGAATTAGAACATCTCCGACCTTAACTCAAATTTTTATTCCAATTTGAGTTAATATTTGATTAAAAAGCTTGATTTGATATAATGCATTACATTGAAAAAATTCAAATATAGAGCATCTCCAACCCTCAATCAAATTTAAATTTGAGAAAAAAAGCCTAAAAAACTTGTTCAATCCTTTCGCTCAAACTTTTATACCAAAAAACAATATTATTGAGATTTAATTTAGTGGCATAATTTGTTGACCTAATTCACTGTAACCTTTAAATTGATTGTAGCCCCTATCAAACATTGGAATTTAGTGCTAATCCAATGATTCCTATGAAGTCACATCATTATGTCAGCAAATTAGGTTAGATTTTTATGTCCAAATAACATTATTCTATACCAAATTAAGAGAGATTCATTTTTTTACTCAAATTAAAGGAGACTCAAATTCTTACTTAAATCTTTAATGGTAAGCTTTCAACCTCTTTTAAAGATCTAATAGTAATCTTTATTCTCTTTTAAATTTATGTTTGTTCTCATTTAAATTTAAGTTTTTCTTTCTTTAAATTTGAGTTTGTCTATTGAAGTCCTTTATATCAAATCAAGTTTTTTACTCAAATTTAAATTCAAATTTGAATGATGGCTGGAGATGCTCTTAAAGGAGAGCAAACCCAATTTTAAATGAGAACAAACTTAAATTTAAAGGAAAATATAATATTTGAGGAAAGGTTTGAGTCTCTTATAATTTGGGTAAAAATTTTATTCTTTCTTGATTTGGTATGTGATTGGGTATAGGATTGAAGATGGTTTTTAAGGATTTTTTACCCAAATTTTAAATTTGGATTTAAAAAATGGTAAGGGTTCGAAATGCTCTTGCCATAGTTTATTGACTTTAGTGACTTTAGGGATTGTTTTTGACGGGAAGTGAATGACACACCTATTATCGAATGACACATGGGTGAAGAGCGATCCCATTGAGAGTATTCAAACCCTGAGTGGGATAGACCAAGTTGGACCTGCTAGACTCAACCCCCTCAAAATCCCTTGGGACTATTTGTAGAACTCTGGGGACGTCTTGTCGCAAGCTTGAGTAGTAATGATGCCCGAAGTAGTAATGATGATCTAAAATGTGGGTCCACTGACATGACGGATAATTGGCAATGATTATCTATGCTGTCATATCCACGTGGGAACCTTCATCGAATTCCAAAATGTCGGCTAAAGGCATAACCCTTATTGACGTAGATAAGTCGAGAAGGGCATCATTTAATGTTTGGTGTGCACCACTTAAATGTTCAGAATAGCTCATTAAATGTTTGACCGAGGTCATTGAATTCTTGGTCTCCCAAGCAAGATAATCATTGCAGCATTTGACCCTGAGTGACCGCCGGCCTCCTCTAGGCCTAGTAAATGTGCGGCTCGAGGGTGAGAGTAACCACTGACAAGTAACACCTATGGGTGTCTGATCGGCTGGCTGGCTAGATATGATCTTCTGGACTCCACATCATTAACTCTTAAGGTATAAATAGCCCAAAAGATTGAGCCTCAAGTACACACATAGAACTCACATTCCACTGTAGCACTCATATCCTCTTACTTGAACACTGACTGAATTAAACATCGAAGGGGATATGCCAGATACTCATCTGGCCTCTTTTTAACCTCATTTCTTGTTTCAAGATTCTCAAATTCAGTCCCTCTGGGTGTTGTTATCTCAATGATTGCACAAAAAATCAACTTGTGCAATTTGGCACCGTCAGTGGGAAATACGAACATAGTTCCTTCTTAGTTAACACCATGGTGAACACCTCTTTGTAGAGCCATGCAAAGGATAAACCCTTGTACAAACACAGGAAGGCCGACCTCCTTGTGCTCTCAACGTCCTAGTCTGTTGAGCAGTTTGAAGACCTTGTTGTGATTCCCAACAATGCACAAACATGAGCTTAGGCAGGCAAGGGGGAGGACTCCTTGCCCTGTGAGCTCATGGATTTAATCAAAGTACGATTAGTTAGCTAGCTAAAGAAAATTGAGCGTGACAACATTAATGTTCTCAATTGGCTCAACGAGTTCGAGTGCTCAGTTGGAGCTTCCTAAGGTGAAAGCCGCCTAGGCAAGGGAAAAGTCGGTCACAACACCAACAGACTCCACTCTCGAGTGCAAACACATGAAAACTTGTCTGACCTTTGCCACTACTTTGAGCAAAGGCAAGGGAGTCATGCCAATAAATGAGAATATCCCCTAGGGGAAAGAGAGCAAAACCCATGGCCGATGGTGACCTCTACAAGCAATTATCTTGTAACCTAAAAGAGAGAACTTCAAGGAAGGGTCCACCCTCTCGGTGAAAGATAGAGGAATCCAGAAGGGGCCCAAGCTAAAAGCTGTCAGCGGCATCATTGACCAACATTATGAAAATGATTTGGAGGCCCATCTCAATTCTTGGAGACAAGAAGGCTATAATCGGGACAAAAGAGTGGACGAAACAACTGAGGACGAGCTCGTCAAAAGCCCATTCATCCGAAGCATTTGAGAGGTTGAAATGTTGAAAAATTTGTTTTCCACGGTTCAAAGTTTATAATGAGAGAACTAACCCTGAGGGACATATCCGACAGTGTAAGCAATTACTGTCCCTCTATGACACCAACTACAAACTCATTTGTAGGGTTTTTTTGTTGAGTCTGGGGGATACCACCACGATGTGGTACGAGAGTCTTATTCGATAACTGAGCAGTTCATCATTAGGTTCATGACTAGCAGCAAATGACCAAAGGACATCAACAATCTTCTGACCCTCTAACGGAAAGATGGTGATTGAGGAGACCCTCAAATAGTATGCTACTTAGTACTAGGAGGAGGTTAATGATGTGGAAGGTTACTCTGAGGTGATTGCAACTGCTTCCTTCAGACTCGGTCTGTCTTGGGAGACAGATCTTTACTGGCCCCTGACCAAAAGAACCCCGACTAACATGAGAGACTCGATACAAAAAGACAAATACGACAACGTCAAGGATGACGTGGTTGGGGCTTGGGCAGGATGCCCATATCTTAGAAAAATGAGAAAGAGCAGTCGAATAGGAAGTGCGGGTCCTCCCAAGTCCCAACCGAGTTCTCATACTAAGGGATTCAGATGGTCTCTAAGGAGCCAATCTACAAGATGTTCCATAAAATTAAGAAGGAGTCCTTCTTCAAGTGGATGACAAAGATGCAAGGCAATCCTTCTACCAAGAAATTTTTTGTTCGGTGATTATATCATTGCGATATTAGACACCTAACGAAAGATTACCCAGTATACAAGACTTTCCATAAAAGGTTGGTCAAGCAAGGTCACTTCGACGGGTTCATTGATAACGAAAAGACCCGAGAGAGCGAGAAGCATTTTGACATGGTTGTTTAGGAACCCACTGTTGTCATCGGAGTGATCCATGCCTGTCTTCACGAGAGGCCGACCTATAACTATGTGTGCCAACATCCAGACTGTGGCCTAGGCTAGGAAGGTTGATGAGAGCAAGGGCAATGATCCACCTTCGAAAAGAAGCCGTAGGAACGACAAATCTATCTCATTTACCGACACCGACCTAGCAAGGGCCGTCCTTCCACACGAAGATGCTGTGATTATAACCTTAAGGATGGAAAGGTTTGACGTGAAAGTGCATTTTAGTGGACTCGAGGAGCTCTTCTGAGGTGATGTATCAGCACCTATTTCAAAAGATGTGATTGGACCCTAAGGATCTAAAGGCTGTAAGGACCCTTCTTATGGGCTTCAACGAATATTATGCCTTTCTCCTCAGCAAGGTTAACCTCTCGGTCACAACCAGGATTATCCCCTTACAATGCCATGGGGAGGATTTGGCTTCGTGCCATGAAAGTAGTCCATTCAGTCTCTTACTAGAAGCTAAAGTTCCCCACCCTGAGGGGGATCATGGAAATATGTAGAGACCAAGTCACCTCTAAGAGCTGCTTTTACAATACCGTCAAGACCAAGGAGGCTATAAGGCCAAGGAACAAGACCCAGAGGCCGTCTTGGCGAAATAGCAATTAAAGTTTGGTCGACTCGACATTGATGAGCTGTGGGTATAGCCAACCGACCGATGTATAGAGGAATTAACTACAATTTCCATTCTATCGGGCGATGAGGATAGGTTCTTCCTAATTGGGTCTTTATTGACTATAGCTGACCAGGGGGAGATAACAGTTTTCCTTAGATGCAATACCGATGTCTTTACGTGGACCCTATATGAGATGTGAGGTATAATCACGAGGTCATTTGCCATCGGCTTTATGTGGACCTGATCTTTAAACCCATCAAGCAAAAGCCCTGAAGGTCAGTGTCGCACCACGCACAAGCAGTAAATAAGGAAATGGACCAACTGTTGAAGGCCAATTCCATCAGGGAAGTTCAGTTCCTAAAGTGGCTTTCTAATACCGTCTATGCTTGAAAGAAAAAGCGAAAAATGACGTGTCTGTGTCGACTTGATTGACCTAAATAAAGACTATCCAAAGGATGTAATCCCCTGCTAAAGATTGACCGACCAACTTATGGATGTAATAGTGGGACATGGATGAAGGTTAATCATCCAACTTGTGGATGTAATAGCGGGACACGGACAAATGACCTTTGTGGATGTTCGTGTTGGGTACCATCAGATCCCCCTATATGTCCCTAACCAGGAAAGAACTTCCTTTATGACCCCTTGGGGGGTTTATTACTATAACGTTATGTTGTTCGGCTTGAAGAATGCCGGGTCCACTAACTAGTTTTTGATGAACAAAATATTCAAACAACAGATCAGAATAACCAGAGAGGTCTACATTGCTGACATGCTTGTGAAGAGTCAAGCCTCAGGGGACCACCTGAAAGACATAGGAGGGGCCTTCCAAATACTTCGGAATTACGGGCTGAAACTGAATACGTCCAAGTGTTCGGTATCAGCTTTGGCAAGTTCCTCAAGTATTTGGTAACCCGTCGGGTATCAAGGTCAACTGCAACCAAATAGAGGTTATACTGGAAGTGTCGAGGCCTTAGATGAGCAAGGACATTTAGAAGCTCATCGGGATGCTTTCGACGCTCAACCGCTTTATATCCAGGTCCTCGGACAAGTGCAAGCCATTTTTCCAAAGCTTGAGGAAGGACCAGAATGATGTATGAGGTGATGAGTGCGGCTGAGCATTATAGGAGATTAAGGGATACCTAAGAGTAGTCTCCTACCCTCTTAGTGCTAAAGCCCGAGGGGACACTCTACTTGTACTTAGAGGTTTCTAAACACGTGGTCACTGGAGCGTTGGTCAGGGAAGACGAATCAGAAAAAATAGCTATGCAGTATGCATTACATCTACAAAACTCTCCTTAATCTCTAGACTAGGTACCTTCCTCTGGAAAAAGTAACTCTGGCCTTGGTCATAATGACCAAGAAACTCATATGTTACTTCTAATCAGACCTTATCGTAGTCCAGACCGACTAGCCATTGATGGCCGTCCTTCGGAAAGCAAAGCTATTGGGGAGAATTGCCCATCGGACTAGTGGAGTGTGACATCCAGTATCAGCCCTGAATCCATTATGGGGCAAATCTTAACAGATTTCATTATTGAATTCACACATTCCAAACCCGCTTCACTGGAGCGAGAGTCGTCTGATAACCCGGAGGTCCCCCGTGGGATTTGGAGTTTACATGTGGATGGATTATCCAATGCTTGGGGGAAAGATAGGTGTTGTCCTGACCAGCCCGAATGTATCCACATTTGAATAGGCCATCAAACTTAGCTTCAAAGCGTCAAATAATGAAGTTGAGTACAAAGGTCTCGTCTCAGGACTTGACATAGCAAAAGCAGTAAAGACCGACCACCTACAAATGTTTTGTGATTCACAACTGATTGTAAACCACGTGAACGGGGAGTTTGAGACTGGCAAATCCAGGATGAAGGCTTACCACCAAACAGTGCGGTCAATGATAGTAGAGCTCAAGGAGGCCGCGTCTCACAAATTCCTCGAGATCATTATAGTCATGCAGATGCCTTGGTGTGTCTAGCCTCGGCCAGCAATTTGGATATCACTTAGAGGATAACCGTGGAATACTTGCACCAATCTAGCATCAATGACTTGGCACCAGTTCTAACTCACCTGGTCGAATCCGACAAGTCACCCCATGCCGGATGGATCCCATAATTGGCTACTTGAAGACGGTGGAGCTTCTTAAGAGCCGAAATGAGGCTCGAAAGATCAAACTCAAGGCCTAGAGGTTTTGGGTCTCCCCCGATCATAAAGTTTATCAAAAATCTTTCTTGGGCCATATCTCCTTTGTGTTTCTGATCACCAAGTCCAACCATTACAATATGAAGTCCTTGAGGGAATATGCGAGAGTTATATAAGTGGTCGGTCTTTGGCATATTAAGCTATTTGCCAAGGGTGTTGATGGCCTTACATGTAGAAGGATGCCCAATAATATGTTCAAAAATGTGCTAAGTGCCAGAAGTTTGCCCCCATTATCCGACAACTAAATGAAAATCTTAACCCCCTCACAAGTCCTTGGCCCTTCGCCTAGTGAGGGCCAGCCATAGTCGGGCCCTTACCAAAGACTTCGATAAATAAGAGGTTTTTACTAATAGGTGTTGATTATTTCACCAATGGGTGGAAGCTGAGCCCTTGAACCATATTTGAGACACTGACACCAAGAAATTTATATGAAAAAATATCATAACCTTGTTCGGCATACCTTGGGCCCTCATGTCAAACAACAACACCCAATTCAACATTGGTCCCTTTAATCAATTATGTGAGGGCTTTGACAATCAAAATTTTTATTTGTCCTCTGCCTATCCCCAATGCAACAGGTAGATCCAAGTCTCCAATGAGAATATCCTCGCTGGAATCATGAAGAGGTTGGAAAGGGCCAAGGGGAAGTCCGAGGAGTTATTGAACGTTTTGTCGATGTACCGAACAATGGTTGAAGCTCAACTGGCAAGACCCCTTATGCCTTGGCCTATGGGATGGAAGGTGTCATACCCTCTTGAGGTCAGCCTCCAAACCATCAGGAGCTAGACCCTCGAAACTAATGAATAATCAACAAATATCACGGGACCTACACCTTGCCGAGGAAAAGAGGGAACTTGTAGCCATTAGTTTGGCTAAGTATCAGGAAGAGCTAACTAGACAACATAAGAGGATAGTTTGAGCTCAAGAGTTCCAAGTGGGGGACCTATTGCTTCACAAAGTTTTTGAAAGTGCTCAGGAGTCGACCAAAGGGAAGCTCGACCCAAGTTGGGAGGGACCGTACATGGTGGTGTCTGTAAGGGGCTCGGGATCATATAGATTGAAGATCTTGAGGGGAAATCTATCCCTCAACTGTGAAGGGTCTCACACTTGAAAATATTCTTGCATTGAGCAAATGAACAAACTTTTATCAAAATAAAGGATAGCTATTTTTATAACTTGCTTTTTTACACGAGCCTTGGGCTTGGTTGTTAAGGGCCATGCCCCGGGTGAGAAATTTTTTGCACCCGAACTTGGGGCATGGCTACAGGCGGGATAAGACTCTGCATTGGCAGAGCACTGTGCCTAAAAAAGACCAAGGGATACGCCTCTCGCCGAAAAGGATACATCCAGTGTGCTGAAAGGTACCCCTGAATGTGTATGCCACATGACACACTAAAAACAAGTGAAGAAAGAACCAAAACGGAAATGTCATTGACATACTGAGGGTTTTGTGTCCCTCAGAGCATACATAAAAGTTAAATGGCCTTGAGGCCTTACATCCAAAGAAAATGAAAAACAGAATAAATACCTACCAGGGTCCCAAGATTGGCTGTCACTACCTAGGCCATCATCATCCCAACCACCTCCTCCTCGGTCCAGTCCAACAGAATAGCCTTGTGTGCTTCCCTGGTCGTCATCGCCTTGGTCGCCACCGTTAGTATAAAATAGATTACCAAAATCCCCCAAGTCCCCAAGAGTGGAGTGACCTTGTTGGCCAGCTTGGGTGCTAGGTGGAGGAGGTTCCGAGCAATCTCCTGCAGAGAAGTGTGCGCTACGGGGGGGGGGGGGGAGCCAAAAAGGGGAAGGATCATCACGTTCGGTCTTGCTTCTGTTGCTTATTGGGATAACAGCACAAGGAGGGACCTACCTTGCGGCGTCGGCTTCACCTTGGGTCTCACCCCATTCCTTGTACAACAAAAGTAGCACAAACGTGGGCTGAAGAAAAGCTGTGAGCTCCCGATGGCCTTGATTTAGAGCTTCAGTTTTTGAGGTAAGCAGTGCATTTAATGCAAATTCAAAAATGTGCTACAATCGGGCGTGTAACGGTTCCCAAGAAGCGGCTTGCAAGGGAAGCCTTCTATTTCCTCACGCCACGTGGCCCACGATGTTAGCAAGCTGAAGGCTAGGTGTAGTTGACGAGAAATTAATCGGTGGGCCTATCACTGAATAACTGGTCAATGAAAAGAATTCCCACCAAGAGTATTCAGCTCCCTAAGAGGGATAAACCAAGGTGGACCCGCCAGACTGAGCCCTCTTGAAATCCCTTGGTACTATTTGCAAAACCCCGGGGGGATGTCTTGTCCCAGGCCCGAGTAGTAACGATGATCCAACATGTGAGTCCATTAACCTAATAGGTAATAGGGAAAGATTAGTTGCGCCGTCACATCGATGTAGGGACACTCACTGAATCCCAAAATTGTCGGTTAAAGGTATGATCCTTGTTGACGTGGACCGGTCGAGAAGGGTATCATTTAATGATTGGTGTGCACCACTTAAATAAACCAAGGTGGACCCGCCAGACTGAGCTCTCTTGAAATCCCTTGGTACTATTTGCAAAACCCTGGGGGGACGTCTTGTCCCAGGCCCGAGTAGTAACGATGATCCAACATGTGAGTCCATTAACATAATAGGTAATAGGGAAAGATTAGTTGCGCCGTCACATCGATGTAGGGACACTCACTGAATCCCAAAATTGTCGGTTAAAGGCATGATCCTTGTTGACGTGGACTGGTCGAAAAGGGTATCATTTAATGATCGGTGTGCACCACTTAAATCTCGGCATTGCTCATTAAATGCTAGACAAAGGTTAAAAATCCCCGGACAGGGCTCATTGAATGCTCGGTCTTCCGAGCAAGGTAATCATTGCAACATTTGACCTCGAGTGACCGCCGACCTCTCCTGGGCTTAATAAATGCGTGACTCAAGGGCGAGAGTAGCCACTAACAAGTCACCTCTATGAGTGACTGGGTGGCCGGTTTGATGTGACCTTCTGGACTCCACGTCATCACCTCTCAAGATAGAAATTGCTCAATAGATGGGACCTCTGGTACACACATAGAACTCAGCTCCCACTGTAGCACTGTTATCATCTCACTTGAACACCGGCTGACTTAGGCATTGGAGGGGATACGTCGGATACGCATCCAGTCCTTTCCTAACCCCATTCCTTGTTTCAAGAACCCTCATGGTGTCGCTTTCTCAACGATTGCAAAAAATCAACCCGTGCAGTTTTCTTCTTTTCTTTTTTTTTTCCTTTCCTTATATATGGTTGTAAATCCGTCATTGATCAATGCATTGGTTGGGCAATCCATGGTGGGTTGATTATTAGTATTTGCTATGCAATTGAAAATGAAATTATACTGTTCCATTTTGTTTGGAAATTCAATGGTCCCTAATTTGTCCACCAAAAACTTTAAAATTATCTGGTCACCTTTGCACCGTAAATTTCCTTATTCTTTTGGTTTCATTTGTTGAATTCTTTGATCTCCTATCTGCATTACCTTAAATCTTAGAAAACTTCTTTTTGCCTTGGAACATTAGTTGATTATATTAAATGTCATATTTTGGCATGTACTAAGAGTGTCCCTAAGCTATGATTTATGCTGGTGCAGAAAATGTTCACAGTATTTTTACAAGGGACAGAAGTGGAGAAGTGCTCAGGCCTACTGGGTATGGGAAAGTTTTTTCAGGGCACCTTCTGTAAATTCTACCCCATGTGAAAATTCCTTTTTGGTATATAAATTTTTTTAGTATGTGTATGCTTGGAGAAATACATTCTTGCTGCCGTTGATGTACATTAACATGGTAGGGTCAACTTAAGATTGATGTAAATTAGCATGGTAGGATCCGCATCTTGAGTACATGCTAAAAACGTGGAAAGTGGTAATGGAGAGTGAAGGATTAGAATTATGAAACCTTGAGAACTAAGTTTCTAATCTAGGTATCCTTTCTATTCTAGATATGTTTTCGAATATATTAAATCACTTCAAATCATCAGTGGTTTCCAAATATCTCTCTATGGGTAGAAAGAATAAAGCCTTGATGATGTCATAATTTATCTGTGTTACTTTTTTGTCTTTATGCCTCCTGATTTCATTTTGATAGATGTATCCATTTTATCTTACAGGATGAGTTCGCTAGCTTGCCGGCTATTGTTCCGAAGGGTCCCATTGCAATATTGGGCTTGGTAATTCGTTGTTCTTGCTATACGCCGGCAAATCTTTTTTGGGTTTTCAGTTTATGTTATTTTGCTGAACTGAAGTAATGAGTTTATGAGCACCTAGAGTAAGAAAAGGGCCAAAACTTTCAGGGCGGTGGAACAGCTGCTCATCTGATGCTAGACTTGTGGCCTTCATTGCAGCTAGAGGGCTGGGAAATTGATGAAATTGTAATGAACCTTAACTCTCTCTCTCCTGTAGATACGTTTATGTATGCAGTTATTTGCAAAATATGCCCTTTCATCCTCCTCTGTTCTGCTGGCCTTAATCCTCTGCTACCCCTTTAGGGGACTAAGGTAATTTATGAGCCATTCAAGCTTCTTGGATTCTTCATGCTATTTTGAAAAATGCAAGGAAGGTATCAGATTTCTTCTCAATGCTCCAGAACTGTTTAGCAATTTTAAAATTGAAAGCAGTCCCTTTATCGCACTTGCCTCCATTTTGGCTCCTTAGAGCCTGCCAAACATTCTCCTCAAAAAA